ACAAGTGAGTAAAATATACTCTTGTGAACAAAACTTGGAGCATATTTGTTCCTTTCTACCTGATTTCTCCATAATTTGGAAACTATTTGTGAGTATTCTCAACTTACAGCAGTATAGTTAATTGCATAAGTGCAATAAGAATCTGTTTTCTTTTGTAACAGGACACAACTGGAGAAATTGGTTATTTTACCAAGGCTTTGACTTGAATGACATGCTTCCTTTAAAGAATCAAAGTGGACTTTTAGAGCCAATTAAAGCCCACTGGGGCGTCTGGCCTTATACCTTGTCCACACAGAGTCCCTGTACAAGGTTTGTGATCTGTGGTAAGTAAAGAATGTCATTTTCTAATAGGCCTAGGAACACCAAGTTATCTTGGGACCTCAAGAGAAGAGGAATTCACCCAACTCATAGGTATTTGAGGGTACAAATCCATGGCTGGGGTTGGCTTTTAAAGAGTCTTTTTTTTTTTTTTTTTTTTTTTTTTTTTGAGACGGAGTCTTGCTCTGTCGCCCAGCTGGGGTGCAGTGGCCGATCTCAGCTCACTGCAAGCTCCACTCCGGGTTTACCCATTCTCCTGCCTCAGCTCCTGAGTAGCTGGGACTACAGGCCCGCCACTCGCCGGCTGTTTTTTGTATTTTTTAGTAGAGATGGGTTTCACCGTGTTAGCCAGGATGGTCTCGATCTCCTGACCTCGTGATCACCGTCTCGGCTCCCAAAGTGCTGGGATTACAGGCTTGAGCCACCGCGCCCGGCCTTAAAGAGTCTTATCTGAGATTCTTCATGGAAGAGAGTTCTATCAAAGCCAATTTAAGAAACCTAATTGAAAAATAATTATTCTTGCTGCACTTTATGCAAATAATCAGACCAAGTACAGTAAGACTGAAGTTTATTTTGTAAGCAAATTAGTTCTATCATGATTTGTTTTTAATAAAAACAGGGACTGGAGAGAGAAAACTTGTGCTTCAAAAGAAAAACTAAAGTACACTGTTGTTAGCTGTTCTTGAGGTTTTTTCTGCAGTTTAGACTAAATTCTAAATTCTTTGTGGGTTAGAAATCACCAAAAAGATTTAATGCTTTCAAATCTTTGCTTTTAAACTTGGGAATTGTACTTCTCATCCTAGGACTCATTATTTACCTTATAGTATGCTGTTCACATAAATACTGCACTAAAACTATAGATGAGAATACTAATGTTTTTGCCTTGCAAGCCTTAGAAGCTCAACCAGGTCTGCATGAATATGCTCAGACAATTGCAAAGCAGTTCCACTCTTCCCACCTTGGGTTTCACTCTCATTCCCACTATGTCCCCTTTCAGCAGGAAGAAGCCAAAGTGATCAATGGCCTTTTCCTATCTTCATAGCCTACACCTTCAGATTAAGGTGTTATAAAACCCAAAGGGAGGGATTGAAACCACCTTTGCAAAAGTATGGCTGAGACAGTGAAAGGGATCTAATTTAACTGACTCCATCTTGCTTCTAACCTCCAGGTTGTCCTTGTTCATTCCTGGGCATAGGCTGAATTAACTTTGGGAGAAACTTAGTTTATAGTTTATAGTTTACTAAAAGACGGTAACAGCCCTTTGCCAAAGCAGACCTCCTTCTTGCCTGGGGACTAGATTGTCTTTGTAGGACTAACATTAGCCACAAGATTAGAAATTATGGTTTAGGAATCATGAAGCTGGAGGCTACAAAATTCTGACCCTCCCTAAACTGCTCCTAAGATCAGGACTTGAGATACTTTACAGACCCTATACTTGATGGATCAGCTGGCACCACCCAGATCAATAAACTGGCTCATCTGATCTTGTGGCCCCCACCCAGGAACTGACTCATCACAGGCAGACAGCTTTGACTCCCTGTGATTTCATCCCTGACCAATCAGCACCCCTGGCTTGTTGGCTTCCCCCCACCCACCAAGTTATCCTTAAAAACTGCTCCCCAGGACAGGTGCAGTGACTCGCACTTGTAATCCCAGCACTTTGGGAGGCCAAGGTGGGTGAATGCTGGGGAAGACTGATTTGAGTAATAATAAAACTTCGGTCTCCTGCACAGCCGACCCCATGTGAATTACTCTTTCTCTATTGCAATTCCCCTGTCTTGATGAATTAGCTCTTGTCTGGGCAGTGGGTAAGGTGAACCCCTTGGGCAGTTAGTCTCTTTTGCTAACTTCTAGAAATTACATTAACTACCATTTATTAAGCAAGCTTTATGTTTCAGACAAGGTGCTAAGAGTTTTACAGACCATATTTCTTTCTTTTCTTCTTTTTTTTTTTTTTTTGAGACAGTTGAGACAGTCTCCCTCTTTTGCCCAGGCTGGAGGGTAGTGGTGTGTGGCTTACTGCGGCCTCAACCATCCAGGCCCAAGCAGTCCTCCCATCTCAGCCTCCTGAGTAGCTGAGACTAGCTGAGACTACAGGCATATGCCACCGCACCCTTTTTTTTTTTTTTTTTTGGTAGAGACAGGGTCTCACTATGTTGCCCAGGCTGGTCTTGAACTCCTGGGTTCAAGTGATCATCCTGTCTTGGTTTACCAAAGTGCTGGGATCACAGGTGTGAGGCATTGTGCCCAGCCTATCTTCTCATTTTGAAAGCAATACAATACCAACTTTAATGGTAATACACTTTTATGTAATAAAGAACGACATTTACAAATATCAGAAACCCAGTTTTAAAACATTTGCATTAATTGTGAACTGAATCAACTTTTTTTTTTTTTTTGAGATAGAGTCTCGCTCTATCGCCCAGGCTGAAGTGCAATGGCACAATCTTGGCTCACTGCAACCTCCATCTCCTGGGTTCAAGCAATTCTCCTGCCTCAGCCTCCCGTGTAGCTGGGATTACAGGTGCATGCCACTATGCTAATTTTTGTTCCAGACCAGCCTGGACAACATAATGAGACTCTACAAAATTAATTAATTATTTTTATTAAAAAATAAAAGATGTTTCTAAAGAATGTAACTTACACACTATGTTGTTAACAGTGTTAACTCAGTGGATGAAAGTGGTTTACCACACTCATGCATATAATAAATGACAAACATACTTGTTTGAAAGATGCTTCTTTGAAAGCTACTTAGTGGTCATGCATGGTGGCTCATGCCTGTAATCCCAGCACTTTGGGAGGCCGAGGCAGGAGAATTGCTTGAGTCCAGGAGTTCAAGACCAGCCTAGGCAACATAACAATACCCTGTCTTTACAAAAAATTTAAAATTAGCAGAGCATGGTGGCGTAGTCCCAGAACTCTGGGAGGCTGAAGTGGAAGGATCACTTGAGTCCAGGAGTTCTAGGCTGCAGTGAGCTGTGATCGTGCCACTACACTCCAGCCTGGGTGACAGAGCTACTTAATGTGTTATGAACAGGGTTATTTTAGTGAATGGAAGTAATGTATGTAGTGAAGTGTCTGAAGACACATGTTTAAATAATGTTTCAGATCTTATGGACAGCTACAAACCATATCATTCAGAATACACAATCTTCTCAAGTGCACATGGAACATTCTCCAAGATAGAGTATCAGGTCACAAAACACGTCATAACAAATTAAGAAAACTGAAATCATAACAAGTATCTTTTCTGATCACAATGGTATGAAACTAGAAATCAATAATAGTAGTAATTTCAGAAAATTCACAAATATGTAGAATTTAAACAACATGCTCCTATACAACCAATGGGTCAAAGAAGAAATTTTTTTTTTTGAGATGGGGTCTCACTCTATCAGTCATACTAGATGCTGGAGTGCAGTGACACCATAGTGAGATGATAAGTCTTCTTCCAATCAAAGGTTTTTCTCAATGGAAGGGTTTGTGGTCTCACGGGCTTCAAGGAATGAAGCCGTGGACCACAGTGGCGAGTGTTACAGCTCAATTAGAGAAATGCATGGACCCAAAGAGTGTGTGGCAGCAAGATTTATTAAAACAAAAGTGAAAGTAAAGCGAAAGCAAAAGTAAAGCTTCCACACAATGGAAGGGGACCCAGAAGGGTTGCAGTTTCTGGCTTCGGTGTCTTATGCTCATATGCCCTTATGACTCCTCCCCTTTTCCTTTTCCTGTCCTATAGGATTAGCTTATTTTCTATCCGCTTGTGGGTTGGTGGGCCTGATTGGTTAAAAACATTAGGCTGCAGCTAGAGCTTAAACTCCCTATATGATTGGTTGAAGTTTCAATCTCTTAGTTTGCAGCTGTGACTCATATTGGCTTAGGGGAAAGTCCCCTTTGATTGGTTGAAGTTTCAATCCCTTAGCTTGCAGCTATGACTCATTTTGGCTTAGGGGAAAGTCCCCTTAGGGAAGTCCCTATTGACCCAGGAAGTCCAGCCAACTTAGCCACTTAGTCCCTCAATAGCTCACCACAACCTCAACCTCCTGGGTCCAAGTGATCCTCCCACCTCAGCCTCCCCAGTAGCTTGGGACTACAGGCACATACCACCATGTCTGGCTAATTGTTTATTTTTTATAGAGACGGGGTTTCACCACGTTGCCCAGGCTGGTCGCAAACTTCTGGACTTAAGCAATCTGCCTGCCTTGGCCTCCCTAAATGCTGGGATTACCGGTGTGTGCCACTGTGCCCAGCCTCAAAGAAGAAATTTAAAAATCTATTGAGGTCGGGCACAGTGGCTCATGCCTTTAATCCCAGCAGTTTGGGAGACCCAGGTAGGTGGATCACCTGAGGTCAGGAGTATCAAGATGGCCAACATGGTGAAACATGGTCAACATGGTGAAACCCCATCTCTACTAAAAACACAAAAATTAGCCAGGTGTGGTGGCACGTGCCTGTAGTCCCAACTACTTGGGAGGTTGAGGCAGGAGAATTGCTTGAACCTGGGAGGCAGCAGTTGCAGTGAGCCAAGATCATGCCATTGCACTCCATCCTGGGTGACAAACACTCCGTCTCAAAAAAATAAAATAAAAATCTATTGAGACAAACAAAAATGTGAAAATTACATACCAAACATTCGGAATGCAGCTTCTCTAAGAGAAAAGTTTATAGTAATAAATGCCTACCTCACAAAAGAAGAAAGATTCCAAATAGACAAACTAACAGTATACTTCCAGGATCTAGAAAAGAACAAATTAAGCTCAAGATTAGCAGAAAGAAGGAAATGATAAGGTTCAGAGCAAAATAAATAAAATAGCAACAAGAAAACAATAGAAAAATCAACAAAATTAAATTAGATTATGAAAAGATAAATAAAACTAATAAACCTTTAGCTAGCTAGACTAAGAAAAAATAAACATTCAAATAAAAGCAGATGAAAAAGGAGATACGATTGCTACGCCACAGAAAAACAAAGGCTTATAAGAGACTACTGTGAACAATATATGCCAACAAATTGGATAACTCAGAAGGAGCAGACAAATTCCTGGACACATACAACCTACTAAGCCTGAATCATGAAGAAATATAAAACCTGAAAGGGGCTGGGCGCAGTGGCTCACGCCTGTAATCCCAGCACTTTGGGAGGCCGAGGCGGGCAGATCACGAGGTCAGGAGATCAAGACCATCCTGGCAAACACGGTGAAACCCCGTCTCTACTAAAACTACAAAAAAAAAATTAGCCGGGCGTGGTGGCGGCACCTGTAGTCCCAGCTTCTCGGGAGGCTGAGGCAGGAGAATGGTGTGAACCCGGGAGGCGGTGGAGCTTGCAGTGAGCAGGGATCGTGCCACTGCACTCCAGCCTGGGTGACAGAGGGAGACTCCATCTCAAAAAAAAAAACAAAAAAAAAAAACACCTGAAAGGACCAGTAATGAATAAGCAGATTTAATCACTAATGAAAATTCTCCCATTAGGCCAGGTGTGGTGCTCACACCTGTAATCCCAGCACTTTGGGAAGCCAAGGTGGGTGGATCATCTAAGGTCAGGAGTTCCAGACCAGCCATGGCCAACATAGTGAAACCCCATCTCTACTAAAAATACAAAAATTAGGTGGGTGCAGTGGCACACACTTGTAATCCCAGCTACTCAGGAGGCTGAAGCAGGAGAATCACTTGAACTGAGGAGGCAGAGGTTGCAGTGAGAGAAGATCACACCACTGTACTCCAGCCTGGGTGACAGAGCAAGACCCTGTCTCCAAAACAAAAGAGGAATGTTGAAAGAAGAGTAATGTTTCTCAGCACAACAAAGACTATCTCTGACAAGCCCATAGCTAACATTATATTTAACTGTGAAAATATTTTTTTCTCTAAGATCAGGAACAAGACAAGGATGCCAACTCTCACCATGTCTATTCAATATAGTATGGGAAGTCCTAGCCACAGCAATCAAGCAAGAAAAAGCGTGACAGACATCTAAATAGGAAAGAAGTAGAAGAAAAATTTTAAATGCTACTTACAAAGTTTGTTGTGAACAGTGTAACTTCCATGTAAGGAAGTAATGAATGTAGTGAAGTGTTTGTAGTCATGTTAAACAGGCTTCTGAAATGTTATTTACATACTATTTTTAAAAGACGTTTCCACAAATGTTACTTATGCAGTGTGTCGTGAAAAGTATTACTTCGATGAAGGAATGTGGTTACCATACTGAAATTCATGTAAAATATTGGTCCAAACTCCTGACATTCCCTGAAAAGATTTATGGGAATTTCTGGGCTCTCAAGAGATTAATAAGAAATGGAATGAAGCCGGGTGCAGTGGCTCACGCCTGTAATGCCAGCACTTTGGGAGGCTGAGGTGGGCAGATCACTTGAGGTCAGGAGTTTGAGACCAGCCTGGCCAACATGGCGAAATCCCATCTCTACTAAAGATAGAAAAATTAGCCAGGCATGGTGGCAGACGCCTGTAGTTCCAGCAAGTCGGGAGGCTGAGAAAGGAGAATCGCCTGAACCCAGCAGGCAGATATGTTGCAGTGAGCTGAGGTCACACCACTGCATTCCAGCCTGGGCAACAGAGCAAGAGTCTGTCTCAAAAAAACAAAAAACGAAAGAAAAAAGAAAGAAAGGAAAAAGAAAAAGAAATGGAATCCTAAACTCTAAAGCCATGCTGACATAATAATATGGCTCATTCTCATGCACATTTTGAAACAGATGGGTAAATTATATCAAGGAAAGTTCAGAGCTCAGATGGTCTCTAAGAAAACTACAGCCAACTATGGGGTTAACAAGCAGAATCTTCGAAGTTCTCTATCTCTCTATTTTATTTTATTTTTTTCTGCCTACTTTCAATCTGCTGACTTTTCTGCTGGTGTTGAGATAAAAATCACTGCTTATGACATTTGAGCCAAGATTTTTAAAAGAAAGACTTAAAGTCATTTCAAATTAATGACTTTACAAATAACAATAGTTCCATGATAAACAACCTAGACACCTGAGCTATCCCTTTCGGAAATGTAAATTTAGGTTTGCCTGCCTAACAATTGTGTATGGTGACAAAACAGGTAATTGAAGGATTAATAGTCTAGAATAATTATATAAATGTTTAGAAAAGTTAGGCTCTCAAGATCAGACAGGTTAAAATATTGAGCTCAGAGCCATAATATAAGTTCACTGTCTGGCATAAAAATTGCTTTATGTGCCACTCAAGGAGTTAGAAAAAATTTTTGAAGTGCAGATAATCTTTTTCCCCACCCACATTGGAGCAGGTGATGAAGCAAATTAGGTTTTAGGACTAGATTGTCATGTGGACGCCATGTTAAATGTTAATTTCTTTTCCTTTTCTTTTTTTTTCTTTTTTTTTTTTGAGACTGAGTCTCACTCTGTCCCCCAGGCCAAAGTGCAGTGAGTCCATCTCTGCTCACTGCAACCTCTACCTCCCAGGTTCAAGCGATTCTCCTGACTCAGCCTCCTGAGTAGCTGGGATCACAGGCGTGTGCCACCACGCCCAGGTAATTTTTCCAATTCTTGTTGATTTCCTGATGAGGGGATGAGTGATTGTTACCTGGGAGAGTGTCCCTGCTTTGGGTAAAAAAAGAGTGTTTTGTGTGAAATTGCAAATCTGGTATAGCAATAACCACTGGAGACTTTGATAGAAAGGACAAGGATTTGTATTGCTATTGCAAGTTTTCCATAAGAATGAAATGATCAAAAAGTAATCACATTTATTTATTTATTTATTTATTTATTTATTTATTTATTTTAGACAGTCTCCCTCTGTCGCCCAGACTGGAGTGCAAAGGTGCAATCTCACTGCAACCTCTGCTTCTCAAGTTCACGAGATTCTCTTGCATCCGCTTCCTGAGTAGCTGGGATTATAGGCACACATCACCATGCCCTGCTGTTTTTGTATTTTTTAGTAGAGATAGGGTTTCATCATGTTGGCCAGGCTGATCCTGAACTCCTGGGTTCAAGAGATCCTCCTGCCTTGGCTTCCCAAAGTGCTAGGATTACAGGCGTGAGCTACCCTGCCCGGCCTCAAAAAGTTATTACATTTTTTCCCCCCGGAGACGGAGTCTCGCTCTGTTGCCCAGGCTGGAGTGCAGTGGCACAATCTCGGCTCACTGCAACTTCCACCTCCTGGGTTTAAGCGATTCTCCTGCCCCAGCCTCCTGAGTAGCTAGGATTACAGGTGCCCGCCTCCACACTAGGCTAATTTTTGTATTTTTAGTAGAGACGGGGTTTTACTATGTTTGCCAGGCTGGTCTTGAACTTCTGACCTCAGTAATTACTTTTTTAAACAACCATGTGGGCTGGGTTCGCTTGCATGAGGAACGCTTGCAGCCAGGAGCTGGAGACCAGCCTAGGCAACATAGTGAGACATCTTCTCTGCAATAAAATTAAAAATTAGCCAGGCATGATGGTGCATTCCTGTAGTCCCAGCTACTCAGGAGCATGAGGCAGGAGGATCCTTCAGCCCAGACGTTCAAGGCTGCAGTGAGCTATGATCGTGCACTCCACTGCACTCACACCAGTGAGCACTGCACTCCAGCCTGGGTGACAGAGTGAGACTCTGTCTCAAAAATGAAAAATAAGGCTAAGGCATGGTGGCTCAGGCCTGTAATCCCAGCACTTAGGTCACGATTTGGAGACCAGCCTGGGTAACATAGGGAGACTCTGTCTCTAGAAAAAAAATAATCAATCAACCAGTCAATCAAACACGTCAATACCGCGTCAGTAAAGCAGAGGTGACATCAAACTTCATTCCAGTAGCTAAGCCTGACCCAAATCCAGTTCCGCCAAACTAGGAAACCAGTCTCCCTGGTAAGCCTCTGACTGTGATGTTAGTATTAAAAGGCCGCTGCGTGGCATTATGCTAGCAGCCACTGTGTCTTAGCTGTTGAGAAGGACCTCGTGTGTGGTGGAAACCGGGGTTTTTTATTTCCAAAATTCCACATGAAGCCCTTCCTCTAATGGGGGCTCTGAAGACCGGCTGCTCCTCAGTAGTCAGGACCGTGACAGGAAGGATTTTACTCACCATTGACGCAGCCTCAAGTTGTCCCAAAGTGAGGCGGTGTCCGCTTAGATCTGTGCTGAGGAAAACGAGGTTCTGGTCTTCACTGCGGGCCTGGCGCTGGCGGCCACCGGAGGAGCACGGAGGCGGTGGGGGGCTTCTCAGGGGTCCGACAAGGCGGCTCGCACGCCCCCTGCTGGTCATCTGGGTCAGCGCGGGGCCCTCGGCGCTCGCTCACTGTTTAGCGGTGGCCGCGTGCCCCCTCCTGGCTGTCTAGCTGAATTAAATAAATTCGGTGTTCAGATTGTTTAATGCCATGATTTTGGACGTTCAAACTAAAATGGGGCCCACTATCCTGTGTCTTTCTCAAAACTGTTAAAGGAACAATTAATCGGAACGAAATAAATGTAGATCTAAACTTTACAAGTTTCACAACATTCAAAGTAGTCCGTTGACATAAATTTAAAATACAAAGCTGGCGGGGCGCCGTGGCTCGTGCCTATAATCTCAGCACTTTGGGAGGCCAAGGCGAGCGGATCACCTGAGGTCGGGAGTTCCAGACCAGCCTGACCAACATGGAGAAACCCTGTCTCTACTAAAAACACAAACTTAAAAGGGCGTGGTGACGCATGCCTGTTGTACTAGCTACTCGGGAGGCTGAGGCAGGAGAATCTCTTGAACCCGGGAGGCGGAGGTTGCCGTGAGCCGGGATAGCGCCATTGCACTCCAGCCTGAGCAACAAGAGCAAAATTCCGTCTCAAAAAAAAGTAATAATAGACAAAACTATAAAAATTCTAAAGTTACGTTAAATCACATGGAAAGCAATGTCAAATGACAACTACTTAGCCACGCACAGTGGCTCACACCTTAATCCCAGCACCTTGGGCGGCTGAGGTGGGAGAACCGCTTGAGCCCAGGAGTTTGAGACCAGCCTGGACAACCCCGCACCCGGCAACCAACCCATCTCTACAAAAAATACAAAAGTTAGGCTGCTCTGCCTATGGAGTAGCCATACTTTTGTTTCTTTACTTCTCTAATAAACTTGCTTTCACACACACACACAGTAGCCGGGTGTGATGGCGCACACCAGTAATCCCAGCTACTAGGGAGGCTGAAGTGGGAGGATCACCTGAGACCAAGAGGTCGAGGCTGCAGTAAGCCATGATTAGGCCACTGCACTCCCACCTAGGTGGCAGAGACCTTGTCTCAAAAAAGAGAGAGAGAAAGAGATACTAACCTTCTCTAGATTATATTTGTATGGGTAAAATGTTATTGTTTCAGAAATTGTGTCAAGTCCCTGGAAATTTGTCAATGTCCTCGTTGTCCAAGATAAATCCCAGTGTAATGTTATCAGCCATAATCCCAGTTATTATTTTAACTGTTGTATGCCACTGAAACAACCAAATTTCCTTGCCAGTTTCATTATAATGAACTTTCATTAGATCTTAACCATAGCTAATTTACATCTTCTTTTTTTTTTTTTTTTTTTTTTTTTTTTTGAGACAGAGCCTCACTCTGTCACCCAGGCTGCTGGAGTACCATGGCACAATCTGGGCTCACTGCAACCTCCACCTCTCAGGTTCAAGCGATTCTCCTGCCTCAGCCTCCCCAGTAGGTGGGACTACAGGAGCCTGCCACCACACCTGGCTAATTTTTGTGTTTTTAGTAGAGACGGGGTTTCACCATGTTGGCCAGGCTCTTCTTGAACCCCTGACCTCAAGCAAGCCACCCACCTCGGCCTCCCAAAGTGCTGGAATTACAGGCATGAGCCACTGCACCTGGCCTACTATTATTATTTTTAGAGACAGCGTATTGCTCTGTGTCCCAGACTGGAGTGCAGTGCCACCATCATAGCTCACTGCAGCCTGGAATTTTGGAGCTCAGGCAATCCTCCCACCTCAGCCTCCCAAGTAGCTAGAAATACAGGCACATGCCACCACACCAGGCTTTTTTTTTTTTTTCTTTGGTGTATTAGAGCCTCACTATGTTGTCTACACTGGTTTTGAACTCCTGGGTTGAAGCATCCTTCCACTTCAGCTGCCTAAGTAATTGAGATTATACACCACCACACCCGACTATTGCTGGTTCTTTAATGTTCTATTTTCTGGATTTAAAGAAACTTTTTCTCTTAAGCTAACTATATCTTGTGATAATTTAGGAGACTATACTTTTATAAACAGAAATGAAATATTTATCTTTTTCTCCCTGCCTGATCCCTCCAGAATTTAGAAACTCTTATTGAATATTTTCAGTTTCATGGCAATATAGTTATTTGCATAAATTCAATAAGAATCTCTTTACCTTATAACAGGACGTAATTGAGACAATTGGTAATATCACTAATGCATTGACTCTAATGTCCCATTTGAGAATGATGTACATAGGATCAGATATGACCAGCCAATGTTAAGGAACTAAGGTTGACTTTACAGAACCAATGTTCACAAAAACCTCTAGGTTACAAAACCCTCTGTGTGACAGGGATACTGTTACCTGAATTACACAGTTCCAAACCTAACAAGTGAGTAGAGATGGTCACTTCCTGAAAAGACCAGAAAACAGGATATTTTGGGGACTTCAAGAAGAGAAGAATTCACCTAAATCTACAGTTACTGCAGGTGAAGTCTGGTGGTAGATTCTTGGCTTGGCTTCCTAGCCTCAAGGGGGCTTTTAAAAGTCCAATCTGACATTCCTTTTTTTTTTTTTTTAAATAGAGACAGGTTTCGCTATGTGGTCAGACGGCTGGTTGAACTCTCAGGCTCAAGTGACCCCCTGACCTTGGCCTCCCAAAGTGCTGGGATTACAAGTATGAGACACCATACCCGGCCTCAACCTAACATTCCATATGAAAAGTTCCAGCAAAGCCAACTTAAAAAGATCTATATGGGGCCGGGTGCGGTGGCTCACGCCTATAATCCCAGCACTTTGGGAGGCCGAGGCGGGCGGATCACAAGGTCAGGATATCGAGACCATCCTGGCTAACACGGTGAAACCCCGTCTCTACTAAAATTACAAAAAATTCACTGAGCGCAGTGGTGGGCACCTGTAGTCCCAGCTATTTGGGAGGCTGAGGCAGGAGAATGGCACGAACCCGGGAGACGGAGCTTGCAGTGAGCCGAGATGCACTCCAGCCTGGGCGACAGAGCGAGACTCTGTCTCAAAAAAAAACCAAAACCCTATATGGTTACCATTCTTACTGCACTTTTGTAAATAATCAGGCAAACTCTAAGTCTAATCTAGACTTATTTTGCAAACAAGAATAATTTTACTTTGATTATATTTGAACAAAAATAAGGGTGACTGTACAAAAAATTTTATGTTTCAATGGAAAACGATAACTCACTCTTGAGATTTTAGAATCTCACAGGATCAGATTCTAATCCTGTTCGTTGTCTTTGAGCTATTTTCACCTCTTTGAAAACTGCATCCTGCCATTTGGTGCATTATGTCCTACAAAGATACTTGCAGGAAAAGAAGCCAAGTATTGTCCCCCTGCTAATGTATCTATTGTCAGTTAATTTACAGATCTTCAACCACTGGAACAAAGTTAGAAGAGGCAACTTTTGCTCTCAAAAATGCTTGGGCAAATTGGGATATATTCATGCAATAGAATACTAATCAGCAATATAAAGAAACAAATTAGGCTAGGCATGGTGGCTCACACCTGTAATCCCAACACTTTGGGAGGCTGAGGCAGGATTGCTTGAGACCAAGAGTTTGAGACCAGCCTGGGCAACATGGTGAGACCCCATCTCTATCTAATTAATTTTTTTTTTTTTTTTTTTTTTTTTTTGAGACGGAGTCTCGCTCTGTTGCCCAGGCTGGAGTGCAGTGGCGCGATCTCGGCTCACTGCAAGCTCCGCCTCCCGGGTTCACGCCATTCTCCTGCCTCAGCCTCCCGAGTAGCTGGGACTACAGGCACCCACAGCCATGCCCGGCTAATTTTTTGTATTTTTAGTAGAGACGGGGTTTCACCGTGGTCTCGATCTCCTGACCTTGTGATCCGCCCGCCTCGGCCTCCCAAAGTGCTGGGATTACAGGCGTGAGCCACTGCGCCCGGCCTAATTAATTTTTTAAAAAAGAAAAGAAAAAGAAAATCTGGAAAGCCAGATTTTTTGTTATTATTATTGAGACAGGGTCTCACTCTGTTGCCCAGACTGAAGTGCAATGGTGTGATCATGACTCACTGCAACCTCAAACTCCTGGGCTTAAGGGATCCTCCTGCTTTCTAAGTAGCTGGGACTACAGGTGCATGCAACCACATTCAGCAAATTGTTTTTTTTTAGTTTTTGTAGAGACTACATTGCCCAGGCTGGTCTCAAACTCCTGGGCTTAAGTGATCCTCCTGCCTTGGCCCCCTAAAGTACTGGGATTACAGGCGTGAGCTGCCACATCCAGCTAATATCTTTTTTTTTTTTTTTTTTTTTTTTTTTTTTTGAGACAGAGTCTTGCTCTTTCGCCCAGGCTATAGTGCAGTGGCACATTCTCAGCTCACTGCAACCTCTGCCTCCCTGGTTCAAGCGATTCTCCTGCCTCAGCCTTCCAAGTAGCTGGGATTACAGGCACCTACCACCACTCTCAGCTAATTTTTGTATTTTTAGTAGAGATGGGGTTTCACCATCGTGGCCTGGCTGGCCTCAAACTCCTGACCTCATGATCCACCCGCCTTGGCCTCCCGAAGTGCTGGGATTACAGGCATGAGTCACTGTGCCCAGCCATCATTCTTTAAGAAAAAGAGTCAGGGCTGTTTGAAGAAATGGCTGGTACTAGGATTGGGACGGTAAATATATGAGCTAGGATAATCTTGAACTATCAAAAAGTGTGGTCTTTAGACATTCAAAGAAGGATGAAAAATAACAAACAAAAAAAGTTAAAAAGTGTTCAGGAAAAAAAAAACAGATGAAATTAATGATATTGGAGTTAAAAAGAAATTATTTAGGCAGATAGTGAGGGTAAGGAAGTCTTCAGTAAGATTTCCCTTTTAATGAAAAGCAGCCCCAAAATCATTTCTTTTCTAACAAAGAGCAGCCTATAAAATCGAGCTACACACATAGATAAGCAAGCTGGGAGTTTGCACAGGTGAATGCCGGCAGCTGTGCCAGTAGGAAAAGGCTACCTGGGGGCCAAGCATGTTCAACATGGCGGCTCCATCTTC